AACTACTTTCGATCTTAAAAAAATATAATGTGAAAGTTATTTTGTATAAAACTTACCTTTGTTACAATGAAGTCATAAAATGTATAATGATGTGGCAAAATAAGATCCTCCTTGACATACATTAATTGGTCAGCCATGACTGTTTTGAGTTCACTGAATTCACGTCTTAAAACTTCTAGACATCTTTGAAGAAGCTGATAAATGGAATTACCTACCAATAGTGCGAACTAATAAGAATTAGTATAAAGTTATTCTTCTAACAAAGTAAAAACAACACTACAACTGCAATAATAATTAAACCTTTACCTTTTTTCATAATAACACTTCTTCTGTGACCAGACCCATCCCAATAACTGAAAGTAATTTCAATTTCTTCTTCCTTTAATGCATTTTGTTTCCTAGCCCACTCTTGTCTTAATTCCTCCCTTAATCTATTCTCCTCTTCTTCCCTTTCTCTATCAGGTAGAAAACTAGTGTCCACATCTGGGTTTTTCTTTATCTTTTTTATTACTGGTCCACTCTCAATATCTTTTGATTTTTCTAATTTTGATTCTATTTCCTCCTCCTCAGAAAGTTCTACTTCATCTTCATCTAAATTAAATGATAAAGCTTGGATTTGCTTTTTCTGTTTGTTCTTTTCAGCTTGCTTGGCGGCAAGTGCCCTCTCTTTTTCTTGTTCCTTTTCACGTTCCTTTTGTGCTAATTTTCTTTCACGTTCCTTCACTATATTTTCTTGTTTTGCTTTCATTTCATTTAGGGTGACCAAACCAATGGTAGAAGTTTTTAATTGCTGTTCAACCGCATTATAATGTGTTGCAAATTTGTTTTCTATATTATGAATCTTTAGGTCATCTTCTATTTTCTTTTTCCTCAATTCTATTTCTTGTTGAGCAATTTCTCTTTTTTTCATTAACTGCATTGCTCTACCAGCTTCGCTGGCTGCTCCTTTATAATGTGCCATATTTTCTAGTAATGAATTACAATCTTGGAAAAATATTTCTCTCAAAAATCTTTGAAGTCGTTAGGATTAAAGGCTGGAAAAGAGAGCCATAACCAAAGGTGTGAGTATCTTTTATGATGAGAAAAACGTTAACCTTTATCACAATTATTATTCAAATTCAAAGTAAAACGCGAAGATAGTGGACAGAAATATGTAACATATACATCTTAAGCGTTTAATGCACACAGATAATTTACCAAAAATAACAAACTTTTGTAAAAAGAATCATTTTTATCGTACAGCAATGTCAACATAGTCGTAATTATTTTAATATTCACAACAATTTCATAACAAAAAGAATACAACTTACTAAATTTCTTTACTTGTTACAAATATTGTTAGTTACAAACAATATATATTTTCTGATAAAAACTTTACTCAATAACTTCTTAAGAAAAATGCAAGAAAACATGCGACCACAACATTGTACAAAATCTCATGGATTTTTCAACGTGAATCATCCGCCATCTGGTGCCAATAGATAACATTGTCGAGTTGCCTATATTGTCCGCAGTGATGTATACAAAAAATGTATTCTGATATGTAGTTACGATTAACTATGACGTTATAACAGATTTATATCGATTTAAGATTAAAAAAGTAATAAAAAATGCCGGCGGTAATCGTGGGACCTCCGCAACGGAGCGAACAAATGTGGCAAGCATTAAAGGCCCACATTACAAGGGAAAGGCAACGAAAAAAACAAGGTAACCTTCTTTGCATAAAATGTTCATTAAGTTTTCATTTTTACTTCAATTTTTTATCGTAAATGTATAGAACAAGAAGCAGACGCAGAGGAAGAACGGCTAAGAAAGGAAAGAGAACGCCAACAAAAGCAGGATGTAATGACCTTAGGTGAAACTAGAGAACAAATATCAAACCTGGAGAATGAGCTTTCACAATTAAAAGATGAAAAACACCAATTGTTCTTGCAGTTAAAGAAAGTTTTAAACGAAGATGATAATAGAAGACGACAGTTAATTAAAGAAACAAGGTTCGTACATTTTTTATAATATAAAATACATAATTCAATTATACATTATAATTGGGTCTTTTTGTTATATAGTGTATGCTCTGAAGTATTAACAGCAGTTGGAGGATATCCTGGAGCAGGTCCTAGAGTGGTTCATCCACAATTGTTTCTTCCATTACCAAGAAGCAGCAGCCCCCTTTACAAAGTTGCTGTTGGTGCACCAACACATACTTTATTACCAAATGTAAATATGTAAACCTTACTTTTGAAACTTACTTATTTTGGACAAATTAAATAACTCCATAGATTGTTTTTTTTTTTTTTTTCAGGGGCCATTAAAGAGAACACATAGTCCTTCACCACCACCAACTGCTTCCCCATATCATGCTGGTTATGGATATAAACCAACACCTTCAATTCCAAGTTATAATCCTCCACCTTCCAGTAAGTATATCAAAATACAACAATTATAATTTCATGCTAAAAGATATATGAAAAAAGAAAAAAGAGAGTATTAAACGTAGATGTTTGTGCCTCTATAGAATCTGAGGAAGCAGCTAGGAGATCTGGCGATTCCCGAGCTGTTCTCTGGAACAGTGAGTGAATAAACCTTCTTTAATTTCCATGCTCTTTCTTTACAAAGCCATAAACAACAGTTTCTATATTTCTAATGGTTAACTTTGTTATTATGTATTTTCTTGCAGAAAATAATCAATATTCCGCCTCGAATTTTTATTCAGCCCCTACTGGTCAAAGTGTTTATAGTTATTCCGCGCCGACATCGCAACCATCTCGAGAACCTGAACCAGCTAAATCCGTGTACCTTTCAGGCAACAGAGCAACATTATCGACACACCAAACTGGTACATTAAAGCTTATATACAAATATTTTATTTACATCGATTGAAAATTGTACGAATCAATAACGGTATTGTAATATTCTTCATTTATTAGCATATGTGACAAGTTTGCATTCACTGGATCATAAAGGTGCCTATGCAGAAGATAAGTTTTATTTGAGGCCAAGCAGCCACGTTACAGTTCATGGTGGAGCTATCCCAATTCAACAACCACCACAAGTAATTTTTATGTTTAAATATTGCAATATTCACACAATACATCGATATATGAAAAACTTAATACTAGGGAGCAAAGACTGGAGGAATTACATCAGGGTATCCAGTAAGAGCGCCACAACCACCGCCTGCTCCATATCCGCCACCACCACCAGGGACTTATGTTAGTGCCTCTGGTGCTAATGTTCCTGGACGATTATTATATACTCAACCTGGTGCACGTTATCTCCAGAGGGAAGTTTAGGATATAGATCTATGATTGCTTAAATCGAGGTATCTAATCATATTATTTGTATATTTTACAATCACTGCTATATAATGATATTGAAAAACATTTGAAAACATGTAAAGAAATGTATTTTATATGCCGTTAACTAAACGCATATACTGCGTATACGATGTATAAACGCAAAATCTGTAGATACATCTTGAATAATAGAAACAACATTTTTAGTTAAACCTATTTTATTTTATATTAAACATTTTGTTTACAAAAATACAATGAAAAATATATGATGAAAAAATAAATGTCAATTAGTTTTATAAAAGTATAAAAATAATGAAGTCATATTTAAATATAATATTCAAAGCAAAATATGCTGTTATCCTAATAAATGATAAATTATCACATAACATAAAAGAATATAAAGAAAAATGTATTAGTCAAAAAACAATTAGTACGACTTTGATTTTCCCAATTTGTAAACTATACCATATAAGATGTAGTATTAAAACTAATAGCGCCTCTTTTGCTACTGTTTGCGTCATCTTATAATTTAAAGCTCAATTCTTAATATTTGTTCGTTTTGCCTATGTTTTAACGTGTACAAATGATTACGAAGGTCAAAAATACTCGTTAATGTTACATTACATAATTTACAAGAAATATTGGTATTTTCAGGTTTCCTTGGATCTCTGTAATATTAAGAAAAATATAAATTGACTAAAATAAATTAATGAAACTTAATAGATGTTTCAGTAATTTACTTACTCAGTTGTTAATACACGCAAGTTTCTCACATGTTCTGTCATTTCTTGTAGTTCATTTGCCTTTTCTAATTCTAATGCATTATGCAATCCATATATGCAAGTGACCATATGTGTCTTACTAGGACGAAGTAACAAAGTTTCATCATATAAATTCCATCTGTCAGAATTGTTAATTATGTCAGGAACTTGAGGCTTTCTTTCTTTCTCTAACAATTTCATTAACGCATCTTTTATTCTGCATTGACAAACAATGATTTCTTCCATGCTGATACTTTTTTCTGAATGATGATTAATTTGCATTCCCATATTCATCCAAAAACGTAGTCTATTTATCTTATAAAGAGATGAAAAAATAGATAAAATATATTTAAATAAAAAAAAGGTTTTAAACAGTATACTTACATATTGCAAATCATCTATAGTAATTTCAGCATCAAACTGAAAGTCTATGTCATGCTCTGAAAAAATGCTCTTCTTAGTGATAGAATCAAATCCTAATCCACATAATGCGCCAGTGTAGTAAGTTCCAAAATCATTGCGTCGCAATTCCATGTATGGAGTAAAAATTAATACAATTAAAGCAGTCCATCCAGGAAGACGTGGCATTAACGTCGTATTATATAATGTTAAGTTTTGGTTATATGAACTTTGAGAAATAGATCCTGCCACTAAAAGTCGCTGAGAAAAATCTTCGGGATCGGTGTCTAGGAGAACAGAATTTACAGAGTTCGTAGCTATTTTTACAGATTTATCTCTGCCAGCTGTAATAAGATTAGCTAATTTAATTTCTAACGGGGAAAATGGACCCCGTAAATTTACTGTGTCGAGACACTCAGAAATTGGAGGCGGATCCGGATAGATATCCAGCATATAATCTTGGCTATACTGCAACTTTTCGTAATGATGACACTGCATGTCTGACATCTCACTGTTTTTCATTCTTAAATTATGATTAAAGCGTGAAAAATAGTTTTCCTCTCTTTTTATCGCAAAATTTTTCTCAAGAAGACATTGATTAATGCTGATTTCTTCTTCTTCGTTTTTATGTATCAGTTCCAGTATAATAACGCTATTAGCAATAGAGTAAATTTCTCCAAAAAGTCGGCCAGGTTTGTTAATTAAAGTCCAGAACAAATCGTATGCAGCCTGTGACCAATCATCACTAAAATTATGCGCTACAGATGGTTGAATGTTTGCTAATTTGCATTCAATAGCTAATGCGGGAATATTGACAATGTCGCTGTTACGTTCCAGTTGTCTTAAATCGCATAATCTACATTCACTTGAATAACCATAATCAATGAAAAATACTTGTACTAATATATCTTCTGATGTTATATGGCCTTCAACTACAGCTCGAAAATATGCTCTACAATTATTTTCTTCATACGGCGCAATTACAAGTGAACCAGTTTTGGGAGTTTCTGTGAATTTTCTTAAATGATGTTTTATATTTTCAATTGTTGATACTATTTTGTCTGATCTTTTTTTAATCGTAGGATCACGTAGTTGTACCCAAAAACGACTAGGATTTTTAATCTGAAAATTTAAGCCATTGTTTAGGCATATAAAATATTTGAGTATAATTTCATTAGGAATATATACCTACATGTTGTATTATTATAGGAATGCGTGATACTCTTAAACCCGGTAATTCAGGTCTGACTATGTCTTTTATAAGGTCTTCAGAAGTAAAAAATACTTTTCTTTGTATGTTCATTTCTTCCGCACGTTGAATAGCTACATTTTCATACAAAACAGGTATTTCTATGGGAATACTGCATTGTCTCATTCTGACTGCTTTGTAAACGGAAGGAGATATCATATTTGGTGCTTTAATACGTTGATTTTCAAATGCCTGTTTAATAAATTGAATGTAAATACGAGCAGAAGCATCAAAAGACACTCTTATTTTTTCAGCGGAGGTCATTAAATTTTTTTCGAAAATCTCTTGAATTCTGCGAGCGTATAAAAGTCCAGGTTGCCTCACAGGCCATCCTTGTAAATACACTGTTTTCGATGGATCTAAACCACCCAATAATTTTATCCCAGCATGTTCATTAAGTTGATGTTGTGCTGTATTTTTAATAAAATAATTTGGATAAAATGCACCGGCAATTACTAGTTTCAAAACAAATGGTCGCTCTATTTCTTTCCAAACAACTTTATTGACTCCAGCACTTTCTTGTATGCCTAATTTTTCCAGTCTAGCAGTTAGTTCTGTCACTAAAGCTTTAACTTCACGTAATACTCTTAGCTGTACAAAATTTCTTATTGCCCATTTTTTCTCTGCAGCGTCACTATTTATTCGACGGTTAGCTTTCTCCGTAATCCATACTTTGTATACATTCATAAAAGCTATACAGTCACTGCAAGAATCGGTGGCCCAACTAAGTCTAACATTATATGCTAATAATTTCTGGTTAAATGGATTATTGAACATATCTTTTACATTTAAACTAGCTGCAATGATGATTGTATCTTTCAAGACACTAAAAACGTGACCTAACATTATTAATTTCGATACATGAATATCCAGTGGTAGATTAGCCATAACTCGACCAAGATCTGTTAGTTCTCCATCAAATTTTTCTATTTTATTGATCTTGTTTACTAACGCTCCGGTTTCTTTCAATAATAATATTGTATTTTCCAAATTTGCAAGATCAGGTGGATCAAGGGAAAGTGCTAAAATAGCTTTAGGATCTCCCATATCTAACATTTTTGCTTTAAGAACTACATTCTCTAATGGAGATCGTAACATTTCGGGCGCTACTTCTTGAGGCATCCTTTGCTGTAATTTTTACAAATTTTAGAACGTATTTTTATATTAACATAGTTACGTTCAAATTACAAAACATATTTACTTCATAAAATGTTTGTGGCACTAATCTGTATACTCTACCATCCATTACTCGACCTGCACGGCCTGCCCTTTGTACACAATTTACCTTACTTGCCCATCTTATTTCTAAACTTTGAAAATTACTTTTCAGATCCATAACAAGTTGCTTTACTAAACAAAAGTCAATTACTGAAAAATAAATGTGAATTAAACATTATCTTCTACGAGGTGTTTATCTTACAATAGTTATGTAAGCTCACCATATTTTACATCAGGTACAGTAATACTACTTTCAGCAATATTTGTAGATAAAATAACACGACGATAACCAGAGGGTGGTTTCCGAAAAATCAGTTGTTGTTCTTCACTTGTAATTGAGGAATGTAATATTACTATATCCCATTTAACTTCTTCATGATTTGGCAATGCCAACATACTATGCATTTCTGTAATTTCGTTAATTCCTGGTAAAAATACGAGAATCACATGTCTTTCATAAACATTTGTTTCCTCTTCATAATGTGCATCATCAGCTTTCATATCTACATCATCAAGAACTTTCATGAGCTTAACACAGAATTCCATCATTTTTTTTGTAACACGTGGTTCAGAAACTTCAGGTATCTATAATGAAATATAAATATAATACAATAAATACATTCAAATATAATAAATTTTAAATATTATTTTATTTAACATTAAAGTAATTTTGTTTTCCAATATCAATAATAGGTGCAGGAACAAGTTTATTTCTCAGAGGAGAAGAAAAGTATTTAGCAAATTTCTCCACTTCAAATGTAGCAGACATTAAAATAATTTTAACTGAACGTGAATTTGTACGTAACAGTTTGCGGACAACAAGGAGAAGGAAGTCCATATCTTGATCCCTTTCATGAACTTCATCAAGTATGACATGTGTATAGTCTAACATATTTTTTGAATTTATGAGTTTGTGCAAAAGAACACCAGTAGTACAGTATGTCAAACGTGTATCTCTGCTTGTATGTTTTATCAAACCCACTTGATACCCAACAAGAGAACCTACCTCCCACTTTCTTTCTTGGCAGACACGTCTTGTAATACTAATAGCAGCAATTCTTCTAGGCTGTGTAACTGTGGAATATAATTATATGTATGAAACTCTTATTTAGATGAACTTTAATATTATTCTAAATATAATAAAATTACCTATAATATTACAAGGAACTCTTTTTTTATAACAGGAGTCTAGAATAAATTGTGGTACTTGTGTAGTTTTACCACAACCAGTGGGTCCTTGAATTATTACAACTGAATTAGTTTCAATCATAGATACTATCTCATCTTTTTTGGAATTAATTGTTAAACTAGATTTTTTATGCTCAGCAAAATCATACGTTTTGTAAATCTTCATTATTTCTTCTTTATTTACATCTTGTATACAATTTGTACCTTGTGATATATCATCAAAAGTGTTTTCATCATTTGCATTATAATTTGCTGACTAAAAATACAAATTAAATAGAATCTCAAATAACTCTCCAACAACAAGTTACTGTACCTCCAGAAGCTTATCTTCTTCTTCTTGTATGTATTCTGCTATGTAATCTTTTCCTTTTTCTGTATTACGTATAGTTTCATTTATTTGTGCATCCAATAAAGACATGTTAGTTGGTAATTTTTTTCGGCTCGATGGGCCGGCTAACACCTTCCTCTGAATTTTACCTTGTGGACTAAATATATCCAAAACATCCATTTTGCATTAAATACTCGAAGATGGTAAATATTACACTTATTATTAAATAACCTGTGTAAAGTTCTTTTCACAAATTACTACGATATAACTACTAGCATATACCTTACACATTTGCTATTTGTTTCAAATATTACAAATGTATTGCTACTTCTTTTTATGAACACAACACGTGCTGTATTATGTATTCACAAGTTTGAAGTAATCTGCGAAATCTCGTCTCTGCTCTGCGCAAAAAAGAGCGCCCTTTCTCTCGAAATGGATACCTGAGTCGGCCCTGATCTAAGTTCATTGTAATACCAGCAGAATATTTAGTATTTTTTTTTTTTAATAAATAAAATTACATGATAAAAACATTTACAATCTTTCAATTGTCATGAATAAATAATAAAATGAAATATTAAGGGTTCATTTTTGAATTGCGACGTCCCTGTGCGCATAGCGGTACATCTTGAGATAAACCCTGAAGAATTCAAAGCTTGACAAGTAGTATGGGTGTGTTTTGTAACACGCAGCATAATTGAAACATTCGACGTTACCAAAATAACTTGTTATAATTAATTTCAAATTATACGTAATAGAAGGTAATCTAAATTATTATAAAGTCGGGAGAGATAAGTGATAGTATGAAGAATACAAGTAATTCAGAAAGTGCACAAAAAGTAAAAAATGTGCACTTACATAAATCGGGTACAACAAAAGAAGAGAAGAAGGCAGTGGATTTGTATGTAGTTAGATTATAATTATATTGTAATTATATTTGTATATGTTAGATTGTAATTTATTTCGAATTTTAAGTATTGAATTGTGCTCATAAATTTTTGTAATACATTCATGTAGGTATTGGTGGCTATTATTTGGAATTATTGTGATAATCACAGCAGGAACAAGGTTTTACAAAGTTACAGAACCACAGCATGTTTGGTAAGTTGTTTCTGAAAAACATTGTTACAATGAACTTATAGCCAATTAATACAAGTATTGACCATTCTAGTTGGGATGAAACTCATTTTGGTAAAATGGGAAGTTGGTACATAAATAGAACTCTCTTCTTTGATGTTCATCCACCTCTTGGAAAGGTAAATAATTTGTGTATAAGCTTTAATTAACATTAAAGATTTACATTGCTAGTTTGTAGATGTTAATAGCACTCTCCGGGTATTTGACTGGATATGATGGAAAATTTTCCTTTGAGAAGCCAGGACATAAGTATGAAAATGTGAAATATGTAGGCATGAGAATTGTAAGTATAATTTAACATTGAAAAATTATAAAAGTGAAATATTAAATAATGAAATACTATAAATATCCACTTTGTTTCAGTTTTGTACATTTTTAGGTGCAACTACAGTTCCTTTATCATATCTTATCGTATGGGATTTAACAAAATCTATTCAGGCTGCAGCATTTGCTGCATTATTTATTTTGTTTGGTACATGTATTATGTTTATGATATTTTATTCATTTCATGAAGTAGGTATATTGTTTTAACTAATTTATATCTTTTAGATGTGGCATTACTAACATTGAATCAGTATATTCTGTTAGATCCTATATTATTATGTTTTATAATGTGTTCAACTTGGGGAATGGCTCGTATAGGTTCTCATTGTGATGAACCATTTACATGGAAATGGTGGGGATGGTTATCATTCACAGGAATTTCACTTGCATGTACAATTAGTGTAAAATTTGTTGGTGTGTTTGTTGTTCTATTAGTTGGATTTCACACTGCCTTTGAATTGTGGAAAGAATTGGGAGATCTCACGAAATCTATTGTAAGATTTTCAAACATTCTACTTATTAAAAGCTGATTCCTTAAATTCATGTTTGAACTTGTTACAGATATATGTTGGAAAAAACTTGTTAGCACGATGTATTTGTCTCATTTTCTTACCAATAATGTTATACGTGCTATTCTTTTACATCCACCTTATTATTTTAAATAAAAGGTAGAAGAATTCTTTATTATACATATACATGTTGTAACTAAACGTTAGTAATTTGAAATATTTTAGTGGAAGTGGAGATGGATTTTATAGTTCCGAATTTCAGTCTTTACTAGAAGGAAATTCTTTGTACAATGCAACAATGCCACGGCAATTAGCTTATGGAGCTACAATCACGTTGAAAAATCACAGAGCAGGTGGAGGATATTTACATTCTCATTGGCATCTTTATCCAGAAGGCATTGGAGCTAGACAACAACAAGTATTGATCTTATTGCGCCATATATGTTAATTACGTATATCAATAAAATATTACCATATTCTTTTATTTAGATTACAACTTACTCACATAAAGATGATAATAATATGTGGTTAGTAAAAAGATTTAATACCGATAATATTCCGTCTGAACCAGTACTGGTAAAACATGGTGATTTGATACGCTTAGAACACGTTATTACGCATCGAAATTTACATTCTCATAAAGAGATTGCACCTGTCTCCAGAAAGCACTACCAAGTTACAGGATATGGCGAAGTAAGTTTATTTTTTTGCAATTTTCACATTTTATTACGCAATTACGTGTTTTTATTTTTGTAGAATGGTATTGGTGATGCTAATGACGTATGGAAAATTTTAATAGCAAATGGCAAAGATGGTGATATAATTGAAACGGTTACAAGTAAACTAAAATTTGTGCACTACCTGCATCATTGCGTTTTAACATGCAGCGGTAAAACGTTACCAAAATGGTTCGTTACAAATTTTTAAAATTTTCCAAAAACAGTTAGAGAAAAAAACCATTTTAAATATATTGTAATTTTTTCACACGATAAATAGGGCGTACGGTCAACAAGAAGTTTCTTGTAGTCCGAACATGAGAGATAAGAATGCATTATGGAATATCGAAGACAATAATTATGCTAAACGTTAGTACTTAAACAATTATAAAATATATGGTATTTTATCGATAATGCTAATTGATACCTTTTTTTTAGTACCAAACGTTAGTTTCGAAGTATATGCACCCGGGTTTTTAGATAGGTTTTTGGAGTCACACGCAGTTATGTTGCAAGGGAATTCAGATTTGAAAATTAAAGAAGGAGAAGTATCATCGTATCCCTGGCAGTGGCCTATTAATTACCGAGTAAGTCTCAATCGGAAAGAATATAAAAACTTAATTAAAAAGTGAATTTTCCAGGGACAATTTTTTTCTGGCAACAGTTTAAGAATATATCTACTAGGTAATCCAATTATATGGTGGGGAAATATTGTATTTTCAATACTTTTTATCGTATTGTATATTCACGCTTGCGTGCGAGAGCAACGCGGTTGCGTTGAAAGTTCTGCCGTCCTTGAACAAAGGAATAAAATTGTGAATGCAGGAAAATGGTTGTTTATTGGCTGGGTATTGCATTATGCGCCGTTTTGGACAATGACTAGAGTTTTATACTACCATCATTATTTCCCAGCCTTGTTGTACAGTTCAATGTTAAGTGGGATAACTTTGAGTTATATTATTGAAAGTTTACTCATTTTATTCCCAAATAAAATAGGACAAGTTATATACCACACAATAGTGGGGATCGTTATTTCTAGTACCATTTATAGGTAGGTGTAATTTAATTAAATAACGGATACATAATGATGAGATTTTTATGTGTACATTTTGTTATAGCTTCTACTTGTTTTCCCCACTGGCCTATGGTATGGTTGGTCCCTTTTCGGTAGACCCTGAGAGTTCAATGTATTCTTTAAGATGGTTGGATAGTTGGGAATTTTAATCAAGACTGTTTAAAAAAGTGTTGTTATTAATTATGTTTAAAATTTTGAAAAGAGCAAAATATGACAAAATATAATAGATTTATTATACAGTACTTAAGTTACAAAAGTTTGAACAACATATCACTTGTATATATCAATAAATTTTTATACGTTCATATAGAAAAATACAAAAACAAAAAGAAAATACTTCATACCATTTCCTTAACTTCCTTGCTTACAAAAACTTATTTGAAATATTCTTATAGCACTTTTTTATAAGAAGTTTTTAAAGAAAAATAAGTAGCTGCAAGTTCGTCGCGAAACACTGTCGTAAAGGAAAGATTATCCTGTAACGACGAGAAAGAAATGTAGTATAAACACCCACGAAGATAGGAAACGCTCTAAAAGGTTTCGAGTGAGCGTGGTCGCACAGCTGATCGACCCACGTGTTGGAACTGCGCCTCGACGACGCGACACGGTCTCAATCTGCTGTTAAGTGTCCGATTAAGGGGAAATCTCGGTTCATTGCAAATTCTCTCTTTTATCTCTCGGAATTACTTAGCGGCGTGAGTTCAGAATATTGAGTCACCGTTTGCCTTGAGTTCCTCTATTATAAACCCGTTTACCGGTGAATCGTAGCGCGAATCTTTCTGCGGCGAACGATCAATAAACAGCTCCCGGGGATTTTCAGTCTGTCGAGCAGCCACGAACGCACTCTCACGTGAGATCAGTAATAGCTGTCAAAGCGACCACGTGTTCCTACGAGTTCCTGGTACGTGTTCACGGCTATGTGTACGTATAAAAAACGCATGACTAATCTTATTAATAATCGGCCATCGGAAAGTTAGGGTGATCGGGTCTAGTAAAGTTCTAGCTCCGACTCAGTCAGTGACATTTCTTCCTAGATCCTCGAGACACGAATTAAATCGAAAAAATCGCGCGACTTCCAAAACGTCCGCTCCGTGTATATTAGCATAGAAATACATCGCGGCAAAGTGTCGGTGTATTGACCTGTATGTGTCATGTTAGTTCAACTGGTCGCACACTTGGTCACCGTTTAACTAACATTGTCGAAAATATTCGACCGGCGACCTAGAGTCACGGGGTAGTCAGTGAAATTCGCGCGCTAACTTCGATTGGCTGGGCAAATTTGCTGTAGCCGAAGATTTAAAACGAGCGTTGTTTAGAACACTTGTTGCTGGGCCCAGTAAAGATAATCGACGCAGCTGGAACATTATCTGTTCTGGCTTTTACGAGGCGACATGGTTAGGACCTTTCTGAAACGTAATCTGTCTCGTCCGTGTGTGGTACAGTTACGAACGCGCGTAACGACGTTAATCGGACGTAAATGTCTATATAGGTGTGTTGATACGAGCAAGTATGTAGTATATAGTTAGCGAAGTTGTTCACCGTGTTACCCTTCGAATTACCGACATATCTTAAACTAGTTAGTACATATATACGTTCAATCTAAGAGATTCAAATTGTTCGGGTGCAATGTATCAACCGAGTCGGTGAAACGTGATAATTAATCTCTGCGTTCCACTTCTAAAACACGCATTGTTCTAGCGATGCGCGTGTATATATATATATAACGTTAAGTGATTCTAATTGAAATACAATCTTCAAACTGTTCGTGCAGAGAGTTGGACACCGGTTTGCATTTATGGTTAGCCCGTTTACCGACTCGTATGCATTACAAAAGCGTGCTCGTGAACAAATCGTCGATTAACTATTAAAAGTCCAATTGGTAAGCGGTCGTTTTATACGAAATCAATTTTTCATGCATTATTTAACAGACCGTTGGATTATCACGATACTTGCTTAATTTATTTCAAGTTGTTCCTAAAGCGTACTGAAATCGAACTCGCAATTGCATCTCCGTTCTGTTTCACATATATATATATATATACATACACAAACACACACACTTATCTTCATCGATAATCCACTTCAACCAGTTCACTGGTCATTAGATAAACTTGTAATATTTTCTGTACGATAATCTCGCTTGTTTATAATCATTCGTCAAAGCATTGTAAAATTTCTGTTTTTTAATCACTTTCCTGCTTCTCTCACACATACCTGCGCATTATTATAACTTTCCTCACCTTCTCTCACTTCAAACTTGCCGCCAAATCTCTTTTCACCATCGTGTCCTCTTTATTCGTCTATTTATTCTTAATAAACCATCTCTAATGGCGCATTTCGTATTATGAGCTAATAAAAAACGGTCGAGATCCAAGATGAAAATTTCTACGGGCAAATTTGAAGCGGAGGGAGCGGATTCCTCGTCCGCGAGCCGGCGCGGAAGCGTGGTCGGATAAGCTATCGCGTCTTGCCGGCGCAGGAAACGCGGGAATTGCCAGTGGAATCTGACCTACTTGGTCACGCGTATCGCGCGAATCTTCTTCAATGTCTGAAACGAGCCTTGTGAAGGTGTAGCTCCTGTTACTTCATTTCCTCCGCGGTTATTATCGCCAATTGGAATATTTCCTCATTGGCGTGGTTACGCGATACGCTAATTTTATCCGCCTCTTTATCTTGGATTTAATTACACTAAATCGCGACACGAATTTTTTCTTTTATTTTTTGTACTCGTCGCTGTAACATTGGACAAAGGTGATGTGTATACTTCGTTTCACTCCGGAGGAAATAACACTTGAGAATTGTATATTAATTTATTTTTTCTTTTTTTGCAGATCGTCGAAGCAGGATACCTTCTCGAAGAAGTCGAAGAAGTAGCTTGTTATGTGGGGCGTCGCAGGTTTTATAATATGCGTGACAGCGTATTAGCCTTTTCGTTGGCATGGATCTTCGTGATACACAGTGGCCTATGCGGCAAACTCGAGCGGGCCGATCAACGGCCCAACAATGTTCTCGACGACTATTACGCCTATCGTCATATCTCCATCATCCACTTCAACGTCCCGGACCGCACTGTCGCGGCAGGGTTCAAGTAAATTGTTTTCATTGAAAAATAGAATCGAAGTTTCTATCGATCGATTAATCATGACACCGTACGTATTCACAGGTTTATTGTAAAAGAAGAGAAAACTGGAGGAATAGGTAGATGTGTAGCCAGAAACGTCTCCTTATTCTTGAAATCTGGTAGTTTGCCATTTGTACGACCGGATGGATCGAAGATTGCCGCGAAACTTATGAAAGGGAGACGTCCATACTATTCTTTAGATATGGAGAGCAACGGGGACGAGTATATGATTAAAATTGACGCACCTTCGCCGGGTGATTGGTACGCCATTGCGTTTCGATCGTGGAGCGATCCTGATAACGGAAAAATCACTCAACAAGGTTGATTATCAGCGATAAGAAAGAGTCAAAGTTAATCGATGTTGATAGAGTAATAGGGAATTGACGAATACATATTTTTTATTCAGGGCTTGGAGCATCGTGTGACACGGTACTAGACGCAGAATTACTTTTAGAATCTGCTTCGATAGTATCACCAATGGACCCAAAATTAAAGTACGAGGTGCACATAAACGAAAGCGCAAATTCGGCAGTGATGCAGCTACTGATTCCAGAAGAATTTATCGACTCGAGTCTGTCGTTAAACTCTACCTGCGGCGAAGAGTGTAAAATTGCGGTTCATGTGACCGCAGAAGATCATTTAGCAGCTAAGATCGTGAACACCACGAACGCTACCGTGTTCTTCAAGCCCTATTCAGACGCGTATCATTATGTAACCCTTCGTCTACTCTCCGGAGAAGCTTCGAACGTGTCCCTGCAGCTGCTTGATAGTTCACCCACCGATTCAGGCCAGGTAAAATCCGTGGATCTGATGAGAAAGTCCTTGCCAGACTTTTTTCTCTTCGACTACGAGCATTTGCGGGGAAACGGGACGAAACCATCGGCCTTCAACCTGACCGCAGACACACTATCCGTCCTTAGCTTTGAAATTGGTCGAGTGTACGATGTCGGTGGAACGTTAACTCTAGGTTTCAAATTAGTCGACACGAAGGACAAGGAGAAGAAAAATGTCGTCGTGGTCGCGTGCATTTCGTTAGGTAAACATCGGTATAACGTATTATATACATAGCTAACAAAAGTGATACGTTATTCATAAATGAATCATGATTGAGCAGGTTACTACTCAAATATCACTGCTGGAGGAGGTTGCATCCGTACGGACAATATCACTGCAGCAGACATTTACGTGAACTCCACTGGACCAGCTAGTCTTCACATTCCATTCCCCGAGCCAGGTGTCTGGCATGTAAGCTTGAGAGCCTTTTGCCTGGAGGAAAATTGTCAATGCACCGAGACCTGTCTAAATGGCACTGCCTGCGAGGAATGTGACTGCATAAGCCCTTGTAACGCCAGAATAGAGAGTCGTATCTCCTCGTTGCCATGCATAGAGGGGCGTTGCAACTCCAGAGGGAAATGCATGCATTACATGAGCGGTGGTTTTGTTTTCGCCGCTTGTCACTGTTCTGGTGCCTATCGAGGCTTTGATTGCGCCGACGATACGTATGTCCTGAGTAACAGCGACATTATCGTTCGTGTAGTATTGCTAACATTTAGTAATCTGGCGTTCATTGGTTCTGTCTATGTGGCTATACGTAGAGAATACTTCACAGAAGCGATCGTTTACGCTGCTGTTATGTTCTTCTCGACGTTTTACCACGCTTGTGAAGCTGGCGAGGATGTGTACAGCGTATGCATCATGAGACTGAGCGTATTGCAATTCTGCGACTTCTTTAATGCTCTTTTATCTATCTGGGTGACACTGGTGGCGATGGCCTCGTTTGGACCGAAACTCACAGCTTTTTGCCAGATAGCAGGGGCTGTTATCCTCGCTATGAGCGCTGAAATGGATCGTACAGCCCTCTGGGTGTTCCTCCTGCCAGCTGTTACTGGATCTGCTTTAATAGGACTTTCTTGGGGCTTGAGGTGTAAGAGGAGGGGAACTGTTCGTTATCCTTCACGTCCTTACAGGTAGGTCTTTTATCGCAGAAGTAAAAATATAATTACTCATATCTTTGCTATATATCGTATATGTTTTTCTGTTCGTAGAAGCATTTATTTTCCTGCTGGTCTTCTTCTAGTCGCCCTGGGTCTCGTTTGTTATGCGTTCCTACAGACGAGAAGGAATTACTATATCGTGCACAGTCTGTGGCACGTTTGTGTCGCCATAGGTGTTATATTACTCCTACCAAAGCGACAGTACATGAAATGATAGTTATGTAAAAATGTAGTCGTACTTCTACAAAATGAAAGTTGTTGAAAAGTGTTATATTACATAAAAAGAAAGAAAACCTCGTTGCCAATTCAATGGAAGAAACGGGTATAAAAATATGTTCGTAGCAATCGATGGTGCTCGTAGAGGAAAGTACATCGAATGTATGTTGTAATTTATCAGAGATCTTATTCTTGTAACAACTGAGTAACTTTTGTAAATTAAGGAACAGTTCGGCAACTAAACGCATTTTAAAAGCAATATGAATTTCACGAGAGTATTAAGTACTTCGAGGTTGTCCATCGTTGTATCCGCATAATTAGCCAGCACGAAACATGTTATTATAGTGCCATTAAGATACGTTCAGCTCAGATTACGAGTGAGAGAACTAAAAATGGAATTATGCTTAATTGCTTGCGTTTGTTTGATTTATTAATGTCAACTCGAATTACATCGCTTAACAGTGCGTTCAATGAAGGTTTAAGTATCTCGCTAAGGACCAAAGAATATCTAGGATACATAAATACATGTATAAAATATAACAGAGGGTACCCAATATTTTTTCTGCAAACACGAAATTGCATTTTACTAATGACAATGTATCATAGTGTTCTATGATCTATTATTATTATTAATCACGAATTCTTCGAGAATTATCTTGAGGTTTAATTCGAACGTCAACGATTTCACAGTCGATGTTCGATGATATGTTTTAAAAAGATTCATTTTACGTCTCCTAGGAATCGAGACCTCGCACGCAAATCATACATTAATTAATAAAGAAAAAAAAACTATATATTTATATACGTTGTAAACGATCATTCTACCTACACTGAGAATCGTAATGACGTTCAACTATAGACAGTGCCTATTTTATTCTCGAGCGTTCAAAACGGTGCAAAACGTACACTGTGTTCTTGAATTAGAAAGATAATGAATCGTTACGCCGTGTAATTCTATAGGCCTGTTTTATCTTACACAAGGTTTGTGTAAAGGTACAAGTGTCTGCATTAAAGGAAAGTTGTCGCATTACACGCTCAACCGCGCGAACTAACGACTCCGTCACTTGACGCGGGAGCAATTTCACTTTTCTTCATTTGCACGTGTGTAAAAACGATCGAATAAACGTACAAGAACACCGTTGTAAAACTGTCTTTGTAATTGACGAATCGATAAGTTGCCTGCAACTGTTTCACCTATAGCATAAAACGATCTAAATTGCTCCATTAGGAACTGCAAGTATCTATGATAAATCTTTGGACTATTTGATTAAACGGAACCATACATGCTTGCAATAAGCTTTGTCATATGGCGATGAAATATTCCTCCTTAAAAATCCTTTATCATCTCTACCGAAAAAATAAATCTCTACAATTTCGTAACGTCTGGAAATTTCAGTGAAAAATTTCTCAGTCGTGTTATCAAAAACGTCTACCCCTAATAATTACAATGTTCCAGAACCCGTAGGCGTCGCGGTTGCCGTGTTAACCGTGGCGACTGTGGTAATTACGTTCGATAAAAGGGACAGCATGGTTTCCATGGAGAATCCGCAGTGTGGATATGTCCGCGAACAATTTCGATCAGTTCTCCCTGCTTCCACCGCCTCTTGTATAGCGGTTCCTTCCATGGCCGTATTGAAAATCTGATTCGTCGTGATCGTATCGATCACACGGTCAAACGACGAGACGTTTTCATCGTCGTTCAGCTGATTGGCCTCCTTCATGGATGACGCGGCTTGCTGCGAATAAGTGCACACGGCACGTTGCATGCAGGACGTCGTGTCGATACCGTGACGCGCTAGGACGTCGTCCAGTTTCGTCATAATTTGGGTGAAACCGCTGTCTTCACCTGGTATTAATACATTTTCTTTTAAAAATTAAAAAAAAAACCACCAGAAGAAGGATTTTCTATTAAAATGCAAATAAAAATTGCTTACTTCTTGCATAATGACCATAACTGCCAGAGAGAACGTACAGAAGTTTAGGAATGATAAGGACTGAGCCTACTCCTATGATGGCACCCAGAAGTAGGCCTCCTAAGTCTATCTTTGCTGGGGCATAACTCGATACTCCATAACCCTGTGACAATTCTTCTATTATTTTATTATTACAGAAGGTTTCATAGATATAAGACAGTAGAACTTACACTGCCTGTGCTACCAAGATTCGTGAAACCAAATCGAGGTTCTTGACTACGATCCGTGATGTCGTTGGTCTCTGTGTCACCCCGTTTCGACGCCGTCTCGCTTCGTAGCTCTAATTGCGACGGCTGGGCTAGCTGATCCTGAGATTTTGCGCTCTTTTCCATGTAAATCATGGAACTTGGTACGAACCTATTCAAATTCTCATTAAAAAAAAAAATAGAACTACAAAAACGGAATCTATCTTGAAGAATAGTGACCTTACCCTCCGTCGTTAAATTTCGGGTTGCCTATTACAACCATCGCCGAAGAAATCAGGAACAGAAGTAAATTCCAAAAATTGAACGACATCTGAAGAAAAATGGATGTTAAAAAGAAGAACAGTATTTACCATTTGTTTGTCTTACGAAAACAAAAAAAAAAAGGAGTAGGTGTACCTCTATAAAACGCGGAAAAGAGGTAGAATTTTTGAGGGCGTGTCGTACGGATCGGTTTTGAAGAAACTGGAGAACACCAACGTCGTTTCTAGCATATATAGCCGAGCACCTACTCCCGATCGTCACGACATGACAAACCATGGACATAATTGGGCCCACTGGTTTCGCTTTCATTGTTAGATTTTCATGGGACGCTATCACGGTGCGTGACTCGTTCGTCTCTCCTGAAGAAGCAGCAGGACGTTAAACTGTCGCTACGAATCACTCGCGACGGCATTGTTCGTCGACGTCTGTAGCTTGAAATAATACATCTTTCGCAAGAACGATAACCATCGGTTAATATGATCGCCAATTTCTTCCTAGAACCGCAGCGATTACCGTGTTACATTACGAATGTGGTGTTATCTGTCGAATTGAATATTAGATCTTTTAGTATACAAATGTTAAACGATCTATGTCTGTTCTCAATAGATATGTTTTATTTTTATCAATACATCTTGTTCCTGCTAATTAGAGTTCACGGACGATAATTATCATGCGATGATAATTTTCAGCTTTTTCTAAAGGAAATAAGAAAAAGAACATTTAGCGATGTTTCCGTTCGTAAAAGAAGAGAGTATAGAAACTTCGTGAAATTATAGTGGCATACGTACGTTTCGCGACTGTACATTTGTCTCTACCTGATTTTGAGACAAGGAATTCGTTCTGCAGGTTGCCCTGGAAAATTCACGAAAGTCGGACCTCGTATGCGTGCACTAACAAACCTCACATATGAATGCACACACAAATTAAAAAATGCTCGCAGTGTCTCTCAGTCGATACGTTACCATCTTTCTTGGTTTCCTTAATTCTACGTTAATCTTGATGAAATAACAGTGCCATTGGATGAGAATAGTTTGACACGTGTTGTAGAACTTTGCGAAAGTTCAAAAATATGTCTTAAGCACAAATGTTCTCCGCGAAAATAATGAGGTGCGAGCGGAATTACGAAACGTGGAATTCTAGGCGCGAGTTTGTGGAATTTTTAGCCGTGACGATGACCGGCATAACAGCCATAGCGACGGTAATTTGGCCAGAATTCTCTTTTAGGTTCGTTAATTCCGCTCGTGAAAACAGAATTTCCTACTCGACAAGGGTGGGTTGGCTCTTGTACAAAAACTGCTGACAGGATACAAGGATTCTTCACAAGTATTTCTGTGCTCGCTCCAATTGGTCGAGTATACCGGCTGCGTCCTATCGTGAGTATTGCAAAAATTCTTTATTATCGATAATTCCCATCGATTGCCGGTAACTGGATCAGTTTTTGCGATAGATCGGTAATTTCAACGTTGAGAAAATAATTATGGAGAACTCGATCAAACTCGCAGTCACGTTACTGTTATTTTCTATGGTACTGTCTTGCAAATCGCAGGATAATAATGCTCATAAAACAACTAAAAGGTCTCATAGTAAGATATTTGGAAAACATCCGAGTAATGGATTGATCACTTTTAATTCGGAGGACCAAAAACTTCGTGTAAGTTTCTGTGAGATAAATGTTCAAATAGGGAAATTCTACTTTGGTCTTTTGTAACTAATTGTAGATCGATTGGGCCGTAACTATTCCGTTCATCTCGATACCATTCGATCATAAAATAGGAGAGCACGGAGAAGTCTCGCCGTTGTTGAACGTTAACACGAAAGCCCTTGGAATCGTTGGATTAATGACCACCTTGTTCACCGTAGTTTCGCCATTATTCTCGAAGAAACATCATCAGTTTAATTATCGTAAGTAAAATGACACTTGAATTACCCTCATTCACGAGTATATTTTCATTTCTCTTGGCCACGGAACTCTAGGCTCCGAGGATAACACACAATGGTTGCAAATGGGAAACACCATCAACGAGATGATTTTTGGCAATAATTACGTGGCCCCGTGTATGCAACGTATCGTTTGTTCGGTCGTTTCTGTGGCTATGAATACGGACAATCCGACGAGTACGGATAAAATAATAGATGGCTTATCGAGGTAATATTAGGTGGAGGAAAAAAAAAAAATCAACAATTAAATGATAAAAACAAGTTTTCATATTTTAATCAATTGCAAACAGTCACAAATGGTTCAAAGATGTAACAAATGGCACGATCATTCAAGACGCTGTGGTTGCCGCACGAAAGGGAAATCATAATTGCGCTCACATTTACAAGGAGTGCTCGATAACGCCGAAACTCCTAAACACCATGATGAACGAATTCGGTATAGTGTGACGATGTAACAATGTAGATATTTTATTATAGCACAAATACAGAGAGAATATTTTTGTACGACAAAAATCCAGCGTCAATTTTTTGCGCCTCAGACTCGCCTTGCTCAAGGAAATAACTTATTATCTTACTTGGGCGGTGTGAAATATCGTCACGTGTACGGCTGCGTGATCTAGACATAATCATTGTTCGTTTAAGACTTTCACTTTTCGTTAACTATCGTGTAGAAACATTTTAACAACGTTTCTGTGACAAATGAACGTCTTCGTTGTAGCTTTGTAAACCATTTAACAAGTATAAAAACGGTTACTCTACGTTTGCAGAGTGGTTATACCATTTGAACTAGAACACGAATAAAACATAAAGAGACGATTGAGAAAATGTTCGTTTAGTACTATTACAGCCAGCGCATAGGTATACGTTTTATTTTCACTCTAATGTCTTTTCTCGCGTGGAATTGCGTTATTACGGCTATGTCGTTTTACTTTCATCTCGTCGTTTTCACCGTAACTATCGTGTTGAATGGATTGAGCAGTGCATCGGTAGCAATAAACACGAGATTCCTTTATTCCTTCCTTATTTCAACCTGACGGTAAATTCTCAGAAATAATACTAATTAAATAAATCTTTTTCCCCATTCGAACTATAAGTAGAATTTCCTATTACTTTGGCGATACTGCACCACGATTGGCCAGGGTTTAATCAAGGCTCTTGGTGTCTGTGCTATGCTCCATCAAAAAATTGATAACTCGAGGGTTATTGTGCAGCACCGCGTAGTGTAACGGCGTTCTTCCGCAAAAATCATTCACCGAGAAATCAGCATTCGCCAAATAATAAGACTCTAAGCGTTGCACGTTACCGGCTGCAGCCGCGTTACATATTTTCTCGCATATCACGTGACCGCTTCCGTGCAAATGAGCTCCACACTGTATCAGAAGCTTAATGATCTGGAAAAATTGAAATGGAACATTCGTTGAAGTGGCTCTAGCGAATTTTAAAGATAACACAATCTAACGTTCAAATGATATTTCACCTCGTGATGATCGAACTCTATCGCGTCGATCAGAGGTGTCCGGTTAAATCGATCTTTGATGTGAACGTTCGCGCCCATTTGTAAGAGACAACGCACAACATTTAAATCACCTTCGCAGCAAGCGATGTGTAAAGCTGTACGACCATCTTCATTCTGCTGTGAAATATCTGCCCCCTGGAACAAATATTTATTTATTCTTCGAGAGAAAGAATGTCTTATTGTTCGAAGAAAAAAATACACGAGACGTGCTTACGTATCCTTTTAAAGCTTCGAGTTTCACCACGTCGCGACTTTTCACGGCAGCATTCAACATTACAGGGAAAAGGATCGTGCCTAATTCTTTGCGTTCTGCCGTCGACGAAAGTCTCAAAGATCTCGCGACTGCGTCCACGAGATCGAAATCATGGACATTCGGAGGTCGACCTGCGGTTAATTCACCGCGGAGATTCGTTTGCATCATCTGACATTTCGTTTTCAGGTCCCAATCTTTCTTCGATAATACATAGGCTAGTTTGGTCAGAGCGGCTTCCGGTGTCATGTCGAAACCCGATATTATACCTGCAAACGTGAAATATCCAGTTTAACAATTCACTGCATATTTAACACATCCGCTGCCACCAATTTGTAACTCTCAGCCAGACACGTGACTTTCCACGAGGATTTCTGTCATGGTAATCGTCGATCGTATAGCGACCGATCGATACACTGTCGACACACTGTCGACAATGAGAGAATTTCTGTCAATAATGTTTGAACGGAGGCAGCAAACGTGTTAATGTAAAATTCTTTTTGCTTAATCAATCATCTGAAAGTTACCACAACTCTCAAGAATGTATCCAGATTCGTACGCATTTGTAACGCAACCTGTCGAGCATTGCGTAATGTTCACGATGATTATTCCACGTTTCGTGGCCGCTGACAGTTCGTTAACTATATCTTTCCGGTTCGAGGGCACGTTCCCCGATCCGTAAGACTCTAATACGACACCTTCGATCGGGGGCTGTAGAAACGTTTTCACCAGCTCTGTGGTTATACTTGGAAATATCCGTAGCAGTCCAACATTTCTGTTTAAGGTCGCGTGCACATTAAATTTCTCCAAATTGCACGGACGAAATATCGCCTGGTAATCCACTGTAACGCAAAAAATGCATTCAGATGATGTTGATTAAGCATCGTGAAACATATGAACGATCTTCCAAAGATATTCCTGAGCTACATTCGCAATACATATATCATACACATATGTATGTTAATGTATGTAAATATCTACATTTAACGACAGTTTCATAGATAATCTTTACGTGTGTATGCCGCGACGAATCAATAGATATGAATATATGTATTAATATCAAAGCTGTATTCGACAAATCTAATGTAGCTTGAAATTCCAAACGTCGAATGTACTTATCTATCATACGGCAGATAATCTAATCGGTTAGTTAAATTTCAACATATCTAATAATAGATTATTATTATTAGATACCATTTACCATTTCGTATCTTTTTAAACTCTCATCTATAAAGAATCTATAAAAGACGAGAAAATATATTCTCGTGAAAGCGAGACGGATAAAACGAATCCTCCGTAATTGGGTCAATTTTTAACCTTCTATATTGATGTTAGCCTGAGCCAGAGGTGGAAAATTCGGCGAATTGAAAGCCTCGAACGCGAAGGCCGATACTTTGCAGGTACGATTTCCTCGCAACAGATTCGTCCCGAAGAACACGCACACCTCTGGTATATTGTAATTCGCAGCTATCACCACAGATGACAAGAAGTTGTCCAAGCCGTCGCTTCTCGTGTCGAAAAGTGGCATCTGAGATCCAGTTAAGATAACTATCTTGCCCAGAGATTCGAGCATGAAAGATAGAGCTGATGCTGTGTAGCTCAACGTGTCCGTTCCATGTAAAACGACGAATCCATCATAATGTTCGTAAAATTGCTGGAACATCCAGAATACAACATTCAACGTCGATTCTTCTTTCGCAAATAACCTAAAGAATTTAGTTATGATATTAAAAAAGACAAAAGAAAAAATACTCTGCCTGTTCTAACTTCGTTTCTTTCGTGTATTAAATTCGCACGTAACTTTGCAGCATCTCTAAAATATTAACAGAGAAGCTTTTACCTTAATATCGTTAGCTATATGAATCCAATTGTCCATCGTCATATTACTCGAGTCCAATAGCGGCGAATACTCCAACACGTTGTATATAACGCGTCTATTATCTGTCCCGGTCATTCTTCAAAGAAGAAAAATATATTTCGCCTATTTTCAAATAATTCATTAATTCCTCACCGTCTGAACTCTATCGAACGATGTATGTATACACTTACGGTAGAACTAACGGTCCTGTAGGTCCGAATCGTTCTTTCGCATATTCACTGTCGTGCATATGCGGATACTTCCGTATCTTTTCCACGAAGGCATTCTTCTTTGGTACCAGTACTAGAACAGAACGATCCAACATGTTATCTTGGCTGGTGTAAAGGGATGACTGAAAACTTCTAGTCTATATAGAGGGAAACGAAGATTGAAGAAGCATAATGGTATATATATATACCTCTGTTTTCATTTCTAACCATCCCAATTGTGCCACCGGTATAAAGTACGAGCACACGGCCATCGTGAGTAGTATCGTGATGTGACGAATTGTGACTGGTGCAGCTGTGATTTTCCTTGTTTACAGACAGTGACATCATAGATCTCCACGTGGCTTCCATGTGGTGTTATCGTGGCGAGGTTTCTATCGAGACTGATTCGTTCTATGATTTTCTTTTGGTTCAACGTGACCGACGGGTTGCACTCGCGCACGTGCTTTTCAAACCCTGTGCGTATATACAGGGTGAACGAAAAATAACCTCGAATATCTCACTTGTTTTTCGTACGATGAGAAAATGTTAACCCATTTGCATCGTTTGGAAAATATTAAAAATTGACCCTTAACACGAAATTTTAATGGTCTGCGATTATTCGCTATATGAATGCATGTATACATATATGTACGCTTCTATGATAGTGATCAAGAAAATTGCGCGTATATACATATACGTTAATGATGAAAATAGGTGAAAGGAAAAACATTGTTTGGCTGGAAGTGGCAAATATTACGATAAGCAAGAAAATTTTTCGAAAGGTTATATTTTTCGAAATTTCAATCGGTCGTCGGTTTTTTTTTTGTAAACGGAAGCAATTTTTATCATTGTCACTTAATAGCTGGAGGTCAAGACCAGTAATACATTTTACTTCCACCAGACATAACCAATGAGGTTTTTCCTGGGAGCGATAACATAAATTTCGTTTATTTAATTTACCGTGATTTGTAAACGTTGATTCGTCGGAGAAACGACAATTTACGAAGAAAGGATGGATCATGTTGTAACGTCCACTGGCACGAAAATTACACGGAAAGGGCGAAAACGATTACGGTGTATCATGTTTCAAACACTGGACTGCGACGTATCCATTGCTGTTTGTGTAATCTTCTCGAGAACTAATGCGAAAATGAATTTGTCACTGAAGCTATTAACAGCACATTCACATTGTGCCACCAGTTTTCAATTTTTTTACCATTTCGTTTTTGTCGATTTAAACAGTCAGTTTCTCCAAGTGTTTTTTCAAGTAACTTTTAGTTGGAAATCGTTCCTAAGCGTTCTGCCGTTACAGCATTACGTTTATAGTCATCGTAAATTAGAAACTTTAAATTATTTTCTTCGTTACTGTTACGACTCGTGATATACGACTACCTTTTTCAGAAGATCGAAAAAGTATCGAATTACGTCTTTCACAATCATCATTACAAAATATTACGAGAACCAAGAAAATTTTTCTAAAGATCATATTTTTCGAGTCATATTTATATATCTCGAGATTTCATACAAAATATTTGAATGTTTAAAAACATTATACGGAAAGATTAGACAAATGTATTTACATAACAACACCATGCTTATCTGTTAGTTTAAGAGTGCATGTATGACGTAGTTATTTCATTATTCGTATCTATTCCTAAACATTTCTGAATTTTTTCGTACTCAAGGTCACGTCACGATGTCACAGGTCATTCGATAGGTCTTCAAAATAAATATGTACTCTGGAAAAATCTCGAAAAAGATGACCTTGAGAAAAATTTCCTGCTTGTCGTAATATTTGCCCCTTCGAACCAAATAACATTTTTTAGTACCACCAAAAACAAGTGAGATATTCGAGTTATTTTGTTCACCCCGTATATGCACATTGATACAGATAATCCGTCAGGGACAAACTAATTCAAGGTATTATCGTATTTCAGACACTACGTGAGATCGTTAGAGAAGAAGAAGGGTCGATATTAAATTAGATTTCTTCTGAATATTCGTAAACGTATGATTTACCAAGTTAGTTTACGTTGAGAATTCGTTTCTTTTCTTTTTTTCTCTTTTTTCTTTGGATCAGTGTGTTTAGCGAAGAGATATGTTTTATTTCCTAAGCAGACCCTGAAATTCCCTTTTCAATCGTTTTATTTTGTCACCAACGTCTACGGATATTCGTGTATTGCAGAAAATGAGAGGAAAAAGAATCGTACAAGAATCTACAATTCGTAGAAAGAGAAATGAACTGTTTGAGACCGGAAAGTATCGACAGCTGTTGATCAAATTTCCACGCCACAAAGACAAGAATCCCTGCTCCTGTGGTATTCTAACGAGCGTTTTTAATACACCACAATAAGCGAATCGTTTTGCCTTTTTCATTTGATCACTACTCGTCTGCTGTGTAAAAATTAATTTGATACTCTCTAGCCGGCGCTGTCATGGTTCCGGAGTGACCGCCAAAATTGAGGAAATAAAGGAAGCTCCGAAATGTACAGCGACACGTAACCGAGTGTCCAGTCCAGCTAGTAGCGTAACATTGATCAACGCAGAAACAGATTGTGTTGCACGGTTATTATCCTTCATCGTTGATACATTTACATTAAAAAGTTGTTTTTAACCTATACGATTTATGACATCTCATCCTTTAACATAGTGTCGGTTTGCTCTTCTTTATGAAATATGTTGGTTAAATACACATTGGACAAACTTTGTTCGACCAATAAAGAAACACCGAATGTGATGCACGCGCAATAAACGACCAATCGTTTAATAAAAGGGTTATGTCAGTTTAAAATGAGCCACGAATGAATGCAAAGTAAACGTGCTCGACGAGAAAAAAAAAGGCAACATCTGTATCCGCTATGGATGGAGTCGGTATAAAGGCTAAACTTGACGCTTATCGACGCAAAAAACGCAAAGAAGAAATGACAGAGTTTATTAAGAATGCGATACAAACTGTCTTACCGTGGAATGGAAATAAAACGATTAAACACACTCCTTTGGTTGCACAGTCAAACGATATCGAGGTAAGGTTAGGATACTCATGACGCGTAAGGTATTTTCGAATGTTGCTATGACAGTTGTGACACTCGTTTATACACTGTCAATAATATTGTTTATATTGCGGGTTATTACAATATAACAAGTAAAAAGCAATTGAAGTAATATTTATTGCAACAAAAATTTATACAATAGATCCATATGATTAAGAATTGTAAGCTTGCAGGATGTCCAGGATACGGAAAGCACCTGTTCTGATGACAGTCTTGATCAATCACAATGTACAATGCTAACTAAAGTAACATATCTACTTTATTTCCTCCTATGGGCTGCCTTATATATAATTGCAATTGAATATGAATTTGGAGCAGTATATTTTGTCGTATCTATATTAGTATTCATTTGCTTAAATACCAGGTCTAAACCAAAAAAACCAGGTGAACTTAGTGCCTATTCTGTATTTAATCCAGACTGCAAAGCTATTGAAGGAACACTTGATGCTTCACAATTTGAAAGAGAAATTCGATATGGTATAGGAAGTGTACATTAATTTAAGTTGTGAAACATTTAAATTGATCTTATTTATCACAGGCAAAAATAATACATGTTTTGTACTTGTATGTGTATAAATATGTGTCTGTACGGTTCATAATAAAATGCAAATGAAACATAGGAACTCCTAAATATAAAATTTAGCTAAGTGTATAGTAAAAGTGTTAAAAAACAGTGGTAATTATTGAATGTTACCACAGTCATTGTAAAAGACATTTTCATACCTAGACTTTTTGTACATTTATATTTTCTCTATCGATTTTGTAAAAGTTGTATAGCATTTTCATAACATTTTATCATCTCATTAATGTACATTAAGATTATGTTAAAAGGCTCGCGATGTAGTCTAAAGAATTCTGTCCAATCAGTTCTAGATTGATGTTGCTTATCAGAACACAGAAGAACTCTGTCCAAATCTATCAGCAAATCGTTCAGTATTCTTGTATCAAGAGTGCTGTAACACAAAAGAAGGATAGATTCTTCATGTTTTTAGAATATTATAATGTACAAATATAACTATTTTATTGTAATAACTTGCAAAAGTTACATACTTGATATTCTCAATTGTATCAATCTTCCCATTTAAAGTTTTGACATTAGTTGTCAAATCAACCAAAATTTCTTGTACTTTTCCTGAAAAATAATACAATTTTATTTAATATTCTAAGCTGAGTTACCTATGTATTTCATACCTTTAACTTCTACCAATTCAGTATTATTTATAGATTGTAATGCTTTAGAAGCAATTTCATTCAAGTAATTTGGATTCCATTTTATAACTAAACATTCAGAGAGCCTCCAAACAGTTTGTCCTAGTATTTGTGCTAAAATTATTTTACGTAATTCTTTTTCATGATGATTTTCATTGTATGTGACACTGTAATTCTAAGAATATAAAGAAATACATATAATAAAAGTTGTCCATTGTACAAGTATATTTATATTTATCACTATTGCTTACAGTAAAGGACAATACTGCATGAGGTATTTCTAATGCAAGCCGAGAAGTTGTGACATTATGAAATGTGTTGTTTAAGGATAATAATTGATCATTGTAAGAGAATGAACTCTTCACAATGCTAGCAGATTCCAGAACTATAGATTGTATTATGTCTGATCCAGATACAATAAAAGGACCTTTACCTGCAATGAATTGAATTATGTTAAAGATTGATAACCTAATCTTTTTATGGTAACAAACCTTGCAAAGCTTGATGATGTACTACAATGTAAGCCACAATTCTGTGAGACATAAAACTGGACAATATTTCTGGACAGGGATTCAATGATCCCGAAAATAGACAAAAAATAAGGGATCGACGAGGTTTCCATTTATATTCTCCTTGAATTTCATTAAAAATTTTTGCCAATTCTAAAGCAACACCAACACCTTCTCCGCTAGCGGACACAACCACGTACCTGTCTAAATATTTAACAGTGAATAAAACATTGCGATTTATTTATTCAGGATTAACACAAGAAACTTAATTCACCAGGTTCTCTAGATCCTCGAGCGGTTGCTACGATGTACGATTGGTGTTTAACGACATTATGAATAAGCGATAAATTCGATAGGATACCATTCACCCGAAGTATATCATCTTCCTTTAGGTGGAAAGAATCCCATTTTCTATTACACAAATATTCCAGAATAATAGAAAAGTTACATGGTTTAATGGTCAAATTCAGGAATAAACGTACATTTCGAAATCAGGATCAAGCGGTGCTCTTTCTAGTTGCTCAAGCATCAAACGTTGAAGATACTCGGTGTTCTCCAGGCCATTTCCCGCTAACTCGATACGTTTCTTCTCTGCACGAAATTCGATGGCTCTTTGCGTAGCGAAACGGCCAAGTAAAAATCCACACAGCAAGGAAAGAAAACTGACGGAAAATATAAGCGAGAAGCACATACGTTTTGTCACAAACTCGCTGGACTCGCTCACTCCACGAGCCATTTGAAAGCTGAGAACCCGCTGCATGTTCGCGATCTCGACACACACTTTTCAATATTTTACCAACTAATAAAACTTACACATTGCAACAGACCTTTTTCTTCCAGTATTAAACAGAGTAACGTGTCAAGTTCAGATATACGAAAGGGAACTTTTTTTTAAAAGGGGAAAACTATAAGTTTTCACGGTGCGACAAAAAAGATCAAATATCATGGATACAGATATACATTCGAAATGTAGCGAATGACAAAGAACCAATGTTTTGCGTAAAGCACTGTTATAAAGAGTAAGTGTTATCGATTTAAAGAACTATGGAAATGGTAGAAGTTTTAAACGTCATAGGGCACGTGGAATTTATTTCAAAGGTAAAGTACGTGAGAGGTATCATTCGATCAGACTTGTTGTACCCACGATGCAAATTTCCATCACTATTCTTCCGTTGTCTCCGTTCGCGACCACTTTAACACTGCGTGGGATAAGACTGATATATTTGTCAGTCCGTCTCGTCGGCTTTCCACCTCTCTGCCAACGCTTCGATTATTATATCCCTGATAGACGTGTGAAATGCAATCGAAAATAAGACTCGTGAATTAATAATTAAAAATACAATACTTATTCATGTATACATCGAATTTAATTATTAGCATTTTCTATTGAAAAATAACATTTTTTAATTGTACCGCATACTTGTATGGAAATTTTTTAAATTACGCTACATACGTTTTAAATTATAAGAGAAATATAAATAAATTGTTAATCACCTAACTTGTTAATATGTAAATATGAGTTTTGCAGTTTTTAATCGAAGTATTCGTACGAGTCTACTATCAATATTAAAATAGAAAAAACTATTGAAATGTTAGTATACCATAGGTTCGTTAAAAATTCATGTGAAATAAATCGCACAAATGATATTTATAATCGTAACACCATGTTCGTGGTGTTTGCGTCGGGCAACTTATTTCAGGGAATAATACGGTGACGGTGTTTCGCTTATAAATAGTTTTCGATGTATTACGTACACGTGCAAGGTTGTTTTAACTATAGATGTGCTGTTTCTAAGCCGAACTGTACTAAATAATTTATCCAGACAGAGTGTCTTTATATTCGTGTTTACTGAAAACACTATTTGGCTTTCTTTCAATATTATTCACTCAATTTACTCGCTTCGTTGGATTCTTTTATGCAACTTTTACTAACGCTGATATCCTCTTTAATACGCAACAACTCAACACTGGAATTTCTATTTCACAGGAAGACGACTTTTCAAGAAATCCTAGTTTATTTGAAGATCTTTTATTGTTAGCATATGTCGGTATTAAAGCAAACACTCGTAAGGCAATGAAATGAATTATCGACAGCTCTCGGAAGGGAATAAAAACTTGTTGCTCTAAATCGAGGAAGTAAAAATAAATTTCCAAATGAAAAATACATAAAGATTCGATCCTTTCTTAAACATAGATTTCTGGAATAATAAGTCTGAAATGAGTTAAACAATTGAACAAATGCGATTTATTAATTTTACGTGTATTCTAATTTTTTTTTCTCTCGAAAAAAAAATGTTAAAACGGTAAGAACGCGATGCTTGTGACACAGACGAGGTACAGGATAGACCTAACACCTAATATACTTTTCTGTCCAACGTTCTGAAATACCGATCGTGTAAAAAATACTGGTATATTGTAACGTTTTGTAAAATAAGTAATTTATTTTTTAACAAATAATTACATTTCTTTATTTTTTCTGATACTGCAGACCATTCTTTGATTTCTATGGTGCCCTGGAAGGTCCATCTGTAATTCATACGAAAAGAACATTAATTTTTCTAATTTTTAATAGAAGTTGTAAACAATTTCTGTCTAATCTACCGAATACAATCGTTAATTCAATGCAAAATTAATATATCAATCTGTTTTATTAAGTTAAAGTATACAATAATATTATTTAAGACTTCCGTATAATTGTAAACTACCATCTGAATTGTTATTTAACAAGGAACGCTAATTATTCTATAATTAAAGTACTTGAAAATGTGCCATATACTGCATTTTACTACATACATTATTAGTAATGTTAAAGCAATTAAAAATTTATTATAAGTATCAATTAAATATAATAAAAATGACGAGGGTAGCAACAGCGAAGAGGGATAACGAAACTAATAGCGGTAGATAAGGATAGCACTGAAGAAACGAGTTAGACAAGCAAAGGAATACAGGTAGATAAGGATAACAATAGTGTTATGTGTTAGACAAGGACAGAAAAATTTCAAACGCGACACTAACGCCATCTCATGGTTGATGACGCGAAGTACGACTTTTTAACAGGAACACAGAATATCAACAGAGGTATTAGACAAGGAACGCACTAGTGTGCGACAAGGATAGAGAGAAAGCGCTTTCTATTGGCTGGCGTGCCGCCATCTTCCACCTTCCACGGACGAATCAAGTCGGCCGGTGAAAAATCGTTAATAACTCAATAATTACGATGATTTTGTGAACTTTTAGAATTGAAGAATGATGCGTGGACCTTTAACAACTTTCCCATATATATTTTAATACACTGGACCCTCTCAATAATTAATTATTAACAATTTAATACGTGATATCGGGAACGATCCCGTATACCGTCAGGTACCTTTACGGTTTTTCAATAATTTCATAGCTTTCTATTAAATTCTCGTGTAACTAACTATACGCGTCTGAAAGGTAACTCCTTTGGCTATATTCTCATATAATTTTTATTAACATATCCCCTGTGGTTTGATAGTTATTTAACATTCTTTAGGTGAGTATTACACCCGTCGCATTCAAGCGTAACACATTTTCGTTATTTCAATGGAAACGCACGATTAGTTATACACTTTCAAGCATGTAGAATGTAGAATGGACGTTTATCTATATTCTGCAATTAGTTGGGTAACTGTAAGTGGCGTGGTTTACTAGATATTAATAATTCTTTATAACAGTTGACTCTACACCAATACGATGAATAGGGGAGTCTCCCCTATAATGTTTAATAACTCCTAAACTAAACCGAATATGTTAATAGAGATTATATGAGAATGTAGCTAAGGGAGTTGCCTTTCGGACGCATATAGTTAGTTGCATGAGAATTTAGTAGAAAGCTATGAAATTATCGAAAAACCGTAAACGTACCTGACGGTATGCGGTATCGTTCCCGACATCACGTACTAAAATTGTTAATAACTAATTATTGAGAGGGTCCAGTGTATTAAAATCTATATGGGAAAGTTGCTAAAGGTCTACGCTTTATTCTTTAATTCTAAAAATTCACAAAATCATCGTAATTATTGAGTTATTAATGATTTTTCACCGGCCGACTTGATGTAGCCCGTGGTTAGTGGAGCTTAGGTGCCCGCCAGCCAATAGGAAACGTTTTCTCTCTATCCTTGTCGCACACTAGTGCGTTCCTTGTCTAATATCTCTGTTGATATCATGTATTCCTGTTAAAAAATCGTAGTTCGCGTCACCAAACATGAGATGGCGTTAGCATCGTGTTTGAATTTTTTTTATCCTTGTCTATGCCTATTTCTTTCCTTGTCTAACTCATTTCTGTATTGCTAAATATCTCGACGAGTTATCGTTGGTAGTGAACACGGTTAAATATATAGAATTGCGTAGGTAGAACTGCTCACGATCTCTTGACAGCAGTAGAACACGCGCATGTGACGAATCATTTACTAATAAACAATTACATTACTTTTTTATTTGTAATTTCATAGTTACGTTTAACTTCAATCCCAACCACTGCTATATGTATAATGTTGTAATCTTATTCTATGCTGAATCGGTAATGTTGGTAGCGCCACGAAAATGGTAAAGGTTTTTTCGACCCCAAAGTTCTGGGCAAAACGTCCCATAAGATGTTTATCTATCCTGTACGTCGTTTGTGCTTGTAATATTAGGATTTCAAATATGGCAGGAACATTTACACGTATATACCTGCGAAGCAAGTACAAAGGGAACGATTGTAGTCCAATTAACGATAGCAACACGTGCTCATATTCACGCGTAAATTTAAGATTTATTGAGAACAAAGGTGTTTTTCATTAATTATTTTAAAATAAAAACGTCAATCCAATGCTTATTACGTTATTCGATAAATTAATTTAGTTTTTAAATATATCAACGATGGACCCGATAGTAACATGTCCATACGATGTGACACACAGAATTCACAAAAGCGTATTACCGTATCATTTAGTACGTTGTCGTAAAAATCATCCGTTGGAAAAGGTGCAGTGTCCATTTGATGCATTCCACGTGGTCGATAAAGAATATTTGGAGGTATAAACAATATGTTAATAAATAATAACCATAATCATAGTATATCTAACAATGATAAGAAATTAAATTGTAGCACCACATGTTAAATTGTGCCAGTAATGGAAATATTAAAAAGGAGCAATATAATTTTGAACCACCACTCCAACTAGGATCAGTATCATTGGAAACAGTTAAAAGTTTGTCTGTACCTGTAATGCAAGATTGGAAAGAGGTTTTATGAAGTATTTATCGCAATATGGTGATGATTGTGACTATTATACCACACTATATGTTTTTGTATTATTAAAGGAAAATATAAAAACGTATGATCCATGGGAAAATACAGAGAATAAAAGTATTATGCGATGTTTAATAGGACTGTCTAAGTCACAGAAAAAACAGTTTAAATTAGCTGAGCGGAAAAGAATATACAATCTTCAAGCAGCTAGTATATATGCTTGGAATCATAAACCATGCTTTGTAAGTCATTTGAAAAGATTAAGTTTAGATAGTATTGATGCTTTATTACAAAGCATTGATATTAGTAAACTGTTTATAAGTGATATTAATGAACAAAAGACTTTTATGAAAAGAAAGTGTGTATCAGATGTTATTGAGAAGGTAACAAACATTGTACTAAATATGAGAAAAAGTTGTCAAAAAAAGATATAAAATGAATGTAAAACATGTTACAGGTTCTGGTGGAACAGTT